GCTAAGTGTTATGCCAATGCTTCCTTCCTCTGCACATTTTACCTTAGGAAAAGACAGAACTGAAAATCAACGGAGCAGGAATTGTTTTGTATCACATACTGTAATTTCTTGGCAATATCAACCAATGTTAATGGATTACTTCTGCTAAATGTTATCCTAATGACCTGACATGAGTAGCTTGCCTGGTGAACTTCCGCAGAAACAAGAAGAAATCAATTCTGTGTACCCTTCAGAGGCAACGCCGAGATTCGAGCCCTCCCTCTTAGCTCAACCAAAATGTCAAATAGACAAATTGTTAGGAAATTCAAATAATTTGATTTAGAAGAGAATTAAAATATATGCACCCTGCTCACATTTTTTTCTAGTTATGCTAAAGTGACATTCTTGGAATAACACGTCCAGAGCATCATTTTGGAGAGTGGAATTTTTATATGCTAATAAGCAGATTCATTAAAAGATAAAAATGACGTTTTTTTTTTTTTTTTTTTTTTTTTTTTTTTAAAGAAAGCAAGAGGAAAATAGAAAATAAGACATTTGTCCCGGATACCTTCTGTTTTTTTTTCTTATTGCTGTTTTTCTGCACATACACATTTGTGTGTATGTGTTTGTGTGAGTGTATATGTGTGTTTATGTGTGTATGTGTGTGTGTGTCTCCTATTTATGCTGTCCTTTAAAGTGGTTTCATCTGTTAATTAATTTCTTGTGTTTCTCATACTTGGCATCCTTCCACTACCTCAAACTCACCTCAGATTAACTCAGGCATCAAAATCCTTCTTTTCTGCTTTAAACCACCCTTTCTTAGAAGCCTCCTTGATGTTTTAAATGACAGGAAACGAGAAAGAAGTCTCCCTTCTCGCAACTGAAGATGATCATGACGCGTATGCAGCAGGGATGAAATTGTGTTTCTAAAGTCTTGCAGGTACTGCTCTCTGTGGAGGGCATCAGCCTGAAACTGGTCCTGTCTGTTGGAGAATAGAGTTATCAGGGTGAAGGAGGTGAGAGATGGACTCTGAAATCGGATAGGACCAGAGCCTGCAAAACAGCTTCAGCGTAGCAGCTTCCCATGGGTGTCAAAACTCTTTCTAGAGGGGCTTTTCTTTGTCCCATACAGTTGACTCCCACTCCACTCACTTCTGATCGTTATACTTCCATCCAAGTTCTCAGGCCTATTCTCATGCCCCTTGTCCAAAGATCCTTTGAGTTATTTGGGACATAGGTTCCCAATGGAGACACCTTGATTTCAGAGGAAAGGTTACAATGTTCAGAGACAGTTTTGGTCATCTGAACTGGGGAGAAAAGATTCTGCTGGCCTCGGTGGCTGGTCAGACTGCTTCACACCCCACATGATGAGTATCCATCACATCCCACATGATGAATGATGATCTTCCCTAAAATGTCAGTAATGTCAAGGTTGAGAAGTCCCGCCTAAGCAAACACAACTTCTTCATATATTTTCCTTGTTCATTTTGGTTACTTGTATAATACCTGTTTAGGCTTATATGTATTTAATTCCTTATAGGAAGGTAGCACATATATTCATCTTTTTCTCCCAAGCTTTGAGCACTCAAAACTGAATTGATCGAGAGGAGTAAATACGTTGAAGAACTTGCAACATCTATATTTAGTGCTAGTGTCCTTTAATGCTTTTTAAAGGAAACTCACCTGATTGGAGGAATATTTTATTTGTAATTGTGTAGTTATGCGATCTTGAGCTTGGACAAGACTTTAAATGCAACCCAGCCTAGCTGATTTTCTTTACCAAGGGACCTCTTTTGATTTTTCTAAATACCGCATTGAAATTCTATTGCAATCATTCTCAGGTGCCAGACTGTGAAATTGGTATTTCCTCATTTAGACATTATCAGAATATATGGTATCCCTCTTTGCATAGATATATACTGTGTGTGTATGAATTCATTAAGAACATTAATTGCAGAAAAAGTCACCAGATGATCTTGATAGCTCTTTTCAGCCCTGACTTAAACTGCTCCCTTCCCTATCATATTTATTTACTAAGTAGGGCAAAAGAGACTGCACAATGTGTTTCCTACGCATACATATCTGGCTTATTAATTTCTCATGGACCCAGACATATTTAGATCTTTACCTCTAATAAATTCCTAATCATTGTTTATTTAATATCAAAGACATCTTTTATTTTTATACTTAAAAACTAATACATATTAATTATGTCTTTGATGATACTCTTACAGAACTGTCAATGTTCTCTCTCTGTGTGTGCGTGTGTATGTGTGCGTGTGCGTGCACACACACATGCATGCACATGGAATTTGATTATGAAGACTTTAGGGACAAATGGCTGCACCCTCTTAAAAATGACCCAAGTACCTAATACAGTGAGAATCTTCCCACGGCAGAGTTTATCAACTTATTCAAAGATTGCAATTGGAGTGCTCAGATACTTGGATGTTAAAAGAAAATGTTTCTCCTCATATATACAATTCATAGTATCTTTTAAATAGTCCCGGGAGAGGAATACCAAGCTCTGAAGTTTTTCCTTTTTAATTAATAAGTGGAAAGATAAGATTCTCATGCATTTTGTGATATAAAGGTGCAGGTAGACCGAGCTGTAAGTGAGTGCATTTTAACATGAAGGTACTGACATTTCATTATGCAAAATTGTATTACTATCAGCAGAAAATAACTAGAAGAGTATTGTGATTCCCATAACATTTTAAAGAATATTCATTATTACCCAGAGCTGAGCTAGACCATGTTTATGTTATCGCTAAAAATTAATTTTATTGCAATATTTTTATCTTTTATTTGGATCAAGGACATGTGAGTTCTAGATCAAGCTTTGGGCCAATTGCCTATGTGTCTTTGGACAAGCTTTACTGGGTGTACATTTTTATTTTAGAAATTTATAGGAGTGGGGTAATTTGTTTCTAATATTTCTCTCACCTTTAGTACTTTGTATGCAGATTTATAACCAAAACTTCTTTATGACATATTATTACATTTTATCATTTTGGGAGTTTGGCAAGAAAGGCCAAGAAAACAATATTTTCTTTTTACAAATGAAAATGTAAGTTCAGGCAGTTAAGTGACTTAACCAGGTCTGGGATGAGGGAGCCTAGTACTGTTTCCAAGATACTCTCAACCCTCCCTGAACAGTCAATTTTTACAAGCCTTCTTTTTGCTTTATTTCAAAAGTGAAACTTTAAAATGTAAACCCCAGTCATAAATATAAACTCCATACTTTTTAAAATTGTGTGAATATTCACACCTCATTTACCTAGAGATAGCTAATAAGATCTGGTACATACAGCAACTTACAGAGATTGGATAGCAAATCGAATTCAAGATGCATGTCTACATGTGATTGGTAGCGTCTTCCTGTGTCCTAGGCTGAGAATTAATTGTGAAGCCAAGTTTAAGTTCTGTATAGAAGTGTATCATGTAACAGTACCCACATATACCCTGAGCAATAGAGAGTGGGGTGTAGAAAGCTATTCATGGACAAAAGAACCTTTGAAAGAAACAACTTGAGAATTTATGAATGTCTTATGAAGTGTCTGATACTGACTTGCCTTACAGCAGATTTTATAACTCAAAACTTCAGCTTTTATTATAAATTATTTGTTAATTATGTGTCCTTAAAGTACTTGAATGTCTTCATTTACAACTGCAGATTATAAAAGCGTGGGGCAGCTTCCTCTGATTACTTTTAATAAAATACAGCTTTATCAGAAAGTATGTATTTGATACATATGTGTGTATCAAGCCTATGTATGTATTTGATATATATGGACATGTTTAGTTTATATATTATATAGATAGCTTATATATTTATTTTGTGTGTGTGTGTGTGTGTGTGTGTGTGTGTGTGTGTGTGTGTGTGTGTGTATCATAGTAGTTTCCCATTACATACAGGAAACACATTTTAAGACCCTCAGTGAATGCCTGAAGTCCTGAGCACTATATATTTTATATTTGTTTCAGTGTGTATATACATAGGATAAAATTTAATTTATAAATTAGAAATACTAAGAGATTAACAGCTAGTAATAAAATATAAAATTTGAATACTACACTATATCAAAAACTGTATTAATATGCCCTCACTTCACCATATATTTTAAGTTCTATCACACTAAGGTAATATTTCTGGACTTCAGCTGACTGTGGGTAACTTCACCCCTGCCCCCAAATGAAGCCATGTATAGGGTGAACCATTTTCCTAAAAATCAGTACTCTCTGGACTGTGCAGGGCAAATATAAATTATAGTGATAAGAAAGGATGAAGAGCTCATGAACCAGTGATGGCTGCTCTTTGCCTGCCTGCTGCAGCTATTCATAGTGATAAGGGCTTTATACCCCTTTGATCCCCCATTTAAGATTTAGAAGTGTCTATTTCCTTATTTTGGGGGAGTTTTAGAATTATCAAAGTTGATGTGGCTAAAAGAAGTCTTGGAGCCAAAATTCAGACCACGATTTAGTAGATATCAAAAGTCATTTATTTTAACATAAGTAGATTACAGGGTATAGATTTGAGGATATAGGTATTTTCCAGTGAAGGTCTAGAAGAACCCCCACCCCATTTGAGGAGAGTGTTTGGATTTACCTTTCACTATCTCTATATGCTGGTTGCCCTAGGCTTCAGGAGGAATGTGATATACACAATAAAAGAGCCATTATTTCTCAGTGTTTGCCAATGTGCTTGTGAGTTGTTTCTCTGTAGAGTGTAGTGTGTCATCCAACAAGGATTGCTCTGGGGTTAGAGAGTTTACTTTAATCGAGACAAAAATTTCCCTGAAGAACTTTTATTGTTGGGGCAGTATATTATACATGAACTGTACTTTTATGTTATTCACAGATAGAGGTATAGTTTAGAAAAAAATGTGTATTTTCAGATTTATGAAAATACACCATCTGAAGTATGCAACAGGGCCATTACTTTAATTGAAGCAAAACATGTAATTGGCATGTCATGTTCTCTTCTTCTTTCTTTCTTTCTTTTGTTTTTTTCCCCCCAGATTCCTTGGTGTTACTCAGTTCTCACCTACGCATGCCAGGAAGGCGTTTCCGTGTTTCGACGAGCCAATCTACAAGGCCACTTTCAAAATCAGCATCAAACATCAAGCCACCTATTTGTCTCTATCCAATATGCCAGTGGAGACATCTGTGTTTGAGGAAGATGGATGGGTAACAGACCACTTTTCACAGACTCCTCTCATGTCCACATATTATTTAGCCTGGGCGATTTGCAACTTCACATACCGAGAAACTACTACCAAGAGTGGGGTTGTAGTAAGTATTTTCAGCCTAATGATGTTTTGGATAATGTGTACCCTTCAAAGTAACCAGATTTCTAGGTTCACAGGTACTGCTTTCACATCTGACACAGCCAAAGTCTTTAGTTACTGGAGGGTAAATGTAATCCTTGTTTCAAAGTCAGATGGGAACTTTCCCACCCCTACACTCTATTTTCTATTGTTTTCCTCCTCTCCATCCCAGGCCTGGGTATGCCTAGAACAGCTCTTGACTTTTCTGGAAAATTCCTTGATTCCCCTTCTATTTTTCTATTATGAATTTCTTTTGAAATGTATAGAAAATGTACCAAAGGATACAATGAACTCCACATCCGTATTAGCAAGATCTGAGAAGAGAGTAAACCATAGCGAATAGACTCAAAGCTCTCTAGCACTAGTTCCTGATATCCTCTCCATCGGGAACCCTAACCTCAACTTTGTATCTGTCCTTCCTATGCATTTGATGGTACAGTTACTATGCATGTTGATATTCACTTATAATGCTTAGCATAGTTTAAAATCCAAGAGACTTTGTAGAATCGGTATCATCCTACCTTGTACAGTTATTTCACTTACTTTTCTGAGGTAGTGTGAGGTACTGCAGGCATTGTCTTCATTTCATTTATGGTAAAAACCAAGTGGCTTGTCTTTGGTGGCCCTCCTTAGTGACATTAAGGCATTCCAGGCATTTTTCTATTGCCATGTTGGATGAGCAATTTCTTCCTCGTTTCAATTTCTTCCATGACAACTATGCATTTATTTTAAATTCACATTGATCATAAAGACTCTATGTTTCTCCTTTCCCCACAGGAGTAGTTGGGGTTTAAATAGATTAAGTAACCTTCCCAGGGTCAAAAACCACAAGTCAAATCTGTTGGGGCGTTCCCCAAGGTTTGGGCTTTCTCTCCTGTGCTCGGGGAATCTCTTTTCCCACTTAGCCTGCATGTCTTTGAGAGAATTTGTCTGGTGATCTTCCCCTCCACATCGCTCCTGTATTCCATTTTCCTTGAGCATACCAGAATGAGTGAGTAGAGAGTTACGTTTTCAATCTGTCGGGATTCACAGCTCAATAATAACCTGAATTTTGAAAAATAGTTTTGGCTAAGGAATTTTTTTCCTCACTGTTACTTTTCATTTAAATCACCGTGGAGCCTGCTTAAAAAATAAAATCTGCTTGCATACAAAACTAATGCCATTATTGAAAAACTACTGAGTGAATTCATCTGTGTAATCATTAAAATAATACCCTAAATGCTGAGTATAGAGGGCTAGCAGGCACTTTCCTCTTTGGACTTATAATAATTTGAAATGTTGAATTCCTCTGACGCCTGTTGATGTCTTCTATGGACATTTCAAGACTGAACTCATTGGACCATACACAGAAAAGGAACATGAAGACATCTCATTTCCTTTTGTGTCTTCAAAAGTTGATGATTGACTTGCCGTGGCTCAGCTAGCATAAGTATCCTGGAAATGCTTCGGCCTGGTATACTTTCTTTAAAGGACCATGAAAGTATCCCCAACCCTACATAATTATGCTTGCTGCTAAGATCTCTTTGTAAAACCACTCTAGTTTTTTTTTTTAGATGTGACTTTTTATTGTTAAGAATCTCTAAGTGATCAGTAAATAGTTTAACATTTATGCTTAGTAATGTTAATGTAGAAAAGATAAAATGTAGTAGCAGAGAACATTGAAAGGTCAACTGAAAGAAAACTTCAGACTGTATAATCTAAAAATGCCAAAATCAGTAAAAGGGAAAGCAGAAGTGCCACTGGGAGCCCTTGTTTATCAACTGTGGAAATACAGTTTGCAATTCCGCTCTCTTTCTGTCACCCCTTTGAAATGCAATCTAGTTTCTTCTCACTGACTTTCTCCTTTATTACTGGGGGCACATGGGAATGACATTTCTCAACCCTTAGCAGATGGAAGGAGAAGAGATTCAGCTTTAGAATCCTGGCTGTGGGATGGTCATGTGAGGTCCAGGTGGTCAGTTTAGATCAGAAGCTGCAGCAATTTTGTTGGAGCTATGAGGAAGGAACTTGAGTAGCATATTAATAATACGGAGCTGAGTCCTAGAGCCAACATCATTGCCATTGATATCTGCTTTTCAAACTGCCTACACTCTGTAAAACACCATTCAGAATAATTACAAAGATGAAGGGTCTAAGATACTCCTGGTACAGGGGCTGCAAATGCAAATTAAATAGTTAATCCTAATCTGCAAATGTATTGAGTTTATCCATTTCTAAAACAGCTTACCATCTTTTTCTAAATAGTGTTAATATTTACAAATTGAAAGATTGCACATAAAATCATTTCTGCTCCTTCCTGAAGTATCAAAAGATCTTATATCACTTGACTCACATCTGTATTCTGTCATATTTTCTCCTTCATTTATTCCTTCCACAGACATTTATTGACTGGATGCTACAGCAGATACTGGATAGACTCTGGCTAAACAGCAGCACACAGCAAAACTTTGTTGCTTCCAGAGATCTTGCGTTTTAATGAGAGGCAAGAATCATTCACATATGTAACACGTAAGGGGGTGATTTATGCCCTGAAGAAAGTCAGTGGGCCGATGTTAGGTGGTGACCAGTGCATTTACATTTGACATTTATTTCTCATGGCAACATACTCCAGATTGGTTTTGTTCTCTCAGTCCACCTCACAGTTATGTATTACCTGCTACAGTCCTATACACAATTACAGTTCAGCCTTAATCTAGGAACACAATTCAGGAGGACAATCAGGGTCTGCACATACATAAGGAAAACAACAAATTCACCAATTATGAATTAGCATCATTAGTATGCATTAATTGTGCAGTTGGAGGAAAACAATCCCATGACCACTAGAAGACAGAGAAATCACTAACCGTTGCAGTATAGGCATGTATCTCATGGATGAGAGTGGAGTTAGTAAGACCTTGAAATGATGATTTGGTCCTAGGGAAGCAGATGCTATGTGCACACTGTGCTTGGTTGGAGAAATATTATCAGGAAGAGATATAGAGGTAGGGAAGTCTGTACGAAAACTAGTGTGGTAGGATGACTACAGATGGGGTTTTATCATCAGATATATCTGTTTCTGAGTTCTTGCCCTGCTTTTCTGTGACCTTGGTTTATTACTTAAGGTCTCCCTTTTCTAGTTTGAAAACTGAAAATATGACTTCTTCCCTTATGGTGCTGTTCTGGTTCCTATATTTGCAAAACAAACTGCTCTAAAAGGGATCTATATGATACGTCCAGTGTATTATGTCTAGAGCTTCCATGGTACAAAATTGAAGTGCACAGTGGAAGTCACTTGTCTCTGCTCAGTATTGTCTGGATCTCAGTTGGGGTGACAAGATGACTGACCTCTTACAACCAAGGCCAGAACCACCTGGAATCCTATTTGTTTGGATTTATTAATAATGTTTATTAACAGTCTTCTGAGATATCAGCTGGGGCTGTGTGCTACAGCATTTGTGTGTGGTATCTGCATGGCCCAGGCTTGCTTAAAACATGGTAGCATCAGGGAGATTCAATTTCTTACATGGCAATTTAGAACACTATCTTAATTAGGGTTTGCGATGGAACACCATGACCAAAGCAACTCGGAGAGGTTTGTTTGGCTTATGTATCCCTCATGTTTATTCTGCTTATGTATTAGTTGCAATCCATTGAGGAAAGCCAAGTCAGGAACTCAGATTGGGAAGGAACCCACAGGCAGGAACTGAGGCAGAGGCCATGGAGGACTATTGCTTACTGGCTTGCCTCTCATATTTCTTCTTCATATCCTGCTTTCTTATAGAACCCATGACCATCATTCTAGGGATGGTACCATCTGCAATGGGCTGGGCCCTTCCATATCCATCACTAATTAAGAAAATGCTCTATGGGCTTGCCTATAGCCTAATCTGATGGAGACATTTTCTCAACTGGGGTTCCCTTATCTCAGATGACTCTAGCCTATATCAAGTTGACATAAAATTAGCCAGAATAAACACCAAAAGTAAATACCTAAATGGCTATAATAAATCTATATGGGGCTGTTTCTGACATCACATTTTATTGTTTCTATGACACAGTATTTTTCTTTTTTGTAAGTTAGTTACCAACAATAGTCTAGGCTCAACAGAAGAATGGATACTTGCCAGCTCTTAATGGAAAGAATGCCAAAGAATTTTTGGTCTTACTTTAAAATGAACAGTCCGCTCTCTGTTCACAAACTATTTACACTCAAATCCACATAGAATATATACATATATAAACATACATATATACATATACATACACACATATATACATATATATATATATACATACACACACACGCGCGCGCGCGCGCACACACACACACACACACACACACACACACACACATATATATATATATATATATATATATATATACACACTCTTTAATGAGCATCATCCTGTTAATAATATATGCTAACATTTAAGATCCACAATCATACAAGCCAGCTGAGATTCAGGCGCAAATGTGTTGACTCAGATTTGGTTTCCTTGGCATATCTCCTCTCACTTAGAAAGATATAAAGACCACTAAGTAATTTATCTTTCTTCCCTGTTTCCCAACCCACAGGCAAGGGTGAAGTTGGAAGATGGTTGTAATAGTCATCTGTATTCCAGAATAGAATATAAGGTGAAGATCCAGTAGTCAATGGCCTGTAGCAATTCTGAAATCCAACTGGTCAGTTTTGCCAATTCCTCAGCTATGGTTCAGTGCTGTTCCCTGTGGGTGGATGTTTTTTTTTTGGCATTTGACCTCATCCTTTGGGCTTTTAATTTTGCCTTTGAAGAAACCCTTTTCCAAATACAAAACAGTTTGTGTCTACAACTGGGATAACCTCAGCTCCATTCTGATATGTGCAAAGTCGGATTTCACAGGCTCTGTGACTTTACAATTAAGCAAGTATACTTAATGAAAATCATTATTGGAATTTAATCTATCAGACTATATTCACTCTCTCAGACAACAGTAGACCCATA